ATTTATCGTTTAAAGATTGTAAATTTAATTGCGTTATATTAGTAATTTTTTTTTTTTGCTTAAGATATTTATTACATGGGAATAGAGTAGATTGAAAATATAGTGATTGAGTTTATAAGTATATTCTCTTATTGGATTGAGTGGTGGTACAGGTGATAAATTCATGAGTCTTATAAATGAATAAAATTTTATTTATTACTTAAAGATTANTAGGGATCTCCATGCTATTTATAAAATATCAAGGGGTGTCCACATAATATTGTCAAAACTCAAGGGAAGTCCAAATTTTTTACCCTATTTTTTAATTAGATATTATTTTATTTTAAAAACTTGAATTATTATATTTCTAATAAAAAAGTTATTTATTAGGAAGGTTTGTTGGTAGCTAAAAAAATAAATGTGTGAGAGTGTATTTCTGTGTATATTTATATGTGAAGGATTGGACATTTGATAATTAAATTTTTAATTTTATTGTGTCATTTTGAATGGTAATAGTGGTGATAAATTCATGAGTTTTATAAATGAATAAGATTTGATTGAGTTTATTTATCGTTTAAAGATTGTAAATTTAATTGCGTTATATTAGTAATTTTTTTTTTTGCTTAAGATATTTATTACATGGGAATAGAGTAGATTGAAAATATAGTGATTGAGTTTATAAGTATATTCTCTTATTGGATTGAGTGGTGGTACAGGTGATAAATTCATGAGTCTTATAAATGAATAAAATTTTATTTATTACTTAAAGATTATAAATTTCAATGGATTATGTTAGTATTTGTTTTTTTTTCTCGGAGGCATTTGTATATATGGTATTGTTTTGAAGAGTTTTATATATTTTTACGACAATTCTATTAATATAGAGGATATGATCGACGATATAATTCGAGTCATTTTAAAAGAAGAATTGATATGGATATTTTTAGGCCATTTTTTTTGAATTTGGACAATTGTGTAAGAATTTTTTGTTTGTTATATATTGCCTTCAGACACGGGTAATAACTAGTACATGTAGAATAGTGCTAATAGATACTTTAGAAGCAAGACTTTTATGAGAGACACATTAATCTTCTTTAATTATTTTTACCCTTACTCAATGCGCCAAAATAGTTTTTTTTTTTTGGGTAATTACAGATATCACCAAGTGTAACCCAGACCCCAGTGGAACANTGCTTAAGATATTTATTACATGGGAATAGAATAGATTGAAAATATAGTGATTGAGTTTATAAGTATATTCTCTTATTGGATTGAGTGGTGGTACAGGTGATAAATTCACGAGTCTTATAAATGAATAAAATTTTATTTATTACTTAAAGATTATAAATTTCAATGGATTATGTTAGTATTTGTTTTTTTTTTCTCGGAGGCATTTGTATATATGGTGTTGTTTTGAAGAGTTTTATATATTTTTACGACAGTTCTATTAATATAGAGGATGTGATCGACGATATAATTCGAGTCATTTTTAAAGAAGAATTGATATGAATATTTTTAGGCCATTTTTTTTGAATTTGGACAATTGTGTAAGAATTTTTTGTTTGTTATATATTGCCTTCAGGCACGGGTAATAACTAGTACATGTAAAATAGTGCTAATAGATACTTTAGAAGCAAGACTTTTATGAGAGATACATTAATCTTCTTTAATTATTTTTACCCTTACTCGATGCGCCAAAATAAATTTTTTTTTTGGGTAATTACAGATATCACCAAGTGTAACCCAGACCCCAGTGGAACAATGAATTTTCAATATAATAGCAAGCCTTGCCCAGTACATTGAAAGAGTGCAGGGTGCAAATTAGGTGAAGTATTTTCGGAAGCGTTGAAATAGGTCATGATGTGTTGGTAGCTGGTTAATTGTGGCTTTCTACAGAATTGTGGCTTCCAAATTTCAAAATGAGCATCGTAAGAAGGATACCCACAAGCCCAATCAAGCGATGGGATTGGGCGGATTAATATGAAAATTTATCTTACACCATTCCTGATGGGAAGGGCATGGCTTGTGTTTAGTGACAGAATGGGATGGGTACAGATAGATGCATATCATTCTTTTTCCTGTTTATACTTATGAGGCCAGGAATTTGTTTGTATCCAGCAATGACTTTTCGGAACTCACATGAATGTGAAAGAGACATGGTGAAATTGTCTTCAGATCATAATTGTAAGCAGTACAAATTCATTTTTTTTGTATCCTATCATCAAGTGATACAACTTCAATTTTCATAGTGCACGAGTGCTTCCATGGTCCTGTATATTGACGATGTCCACTGCCAAATATCAGTTTTTCCAAAAAAAAATTGTATCTCCAAGATATTTGATTCCAAGGATGAAGAAGCTCACTTCAACAGCAACCGAAAGTGATATGCTATGATTATACTTATCTTCTTGATCAAAAGCATTCCGTAGAAGAAAAACTCCATCAAGACGACTTGTTCTTCTTTACTTGGCTACTTGATTCAATGAAGACAAAGNTTTTTAACTGGGCGCATGAATGCAGCTTAAAAAAGCTCAAGTATTTGGTTTGATATACTTATCTTCTTGATCAAAAGCATTCCGTAGAAGAAAAACTCCATCAAGACGACTTGTTCTTCTTTACTTGGCTACTTGATTCAATGAAGACAAAGAAGAAACAAAAAGCCATCCCTTTCCTGGATTTTGTGTTTTCATTTGCAATTACGTAAGTGTTTTTTGAAAGAGACAAAGCAACCGATGAACCAAAGGAGTGAAGAAAGCACATACACTGCATATATACTTTTTCTGTTGAGACAAAATCACCCTTAAACCTTGGAACAGTTGCTATTGCAATTGGGACTGCCTATTTAGACACATTTTGGATTGTTCTTACATCAAGAGATCAAAACAATTTGGGAAGAGACACATTGAGTCCCATATTCTCTACAAAGAGAGCTTACGGATGCTCCAATTTGCATATACAGATTACTTATGCACTTTGACTCAATCAACCGCGTGCACTACATTAACCGCAACATCTTGTTTGAAATGAAAATTTCACCATGCAGACTAAACGGTTTGTAGCAAGCTAGCAATCCAATAATCAGTCGTTAGTGAAAGAAATTGGCTTCATGAGACCTAGACCCTTTCCAATGTAACAGTTAAAGCACACAAATGTGAAGTGACTTGTATCTAAGTGTGTTGGGATGAACATTTTGCTTTATCTTCTAGTAGTAAGATAAAATAGGATGGAGGAGAATGTTGTCTTTTCAATCAAGGGCAGTCTGTCATTAACTTCCTAGGGGAGGGTATTAAAGTAACTAACAAAGCAAACTTTATGGATCAATGATAATTTAGGAAACATGGTTCATGCAAAGCCAAAGGAAGGAAAACATTCTCAACAAAGAATCTTTGCAAAGGAGAAATAAACATGACCCTTGTCTCCTATCTCCAGTGGAATACCCCTGGAAAAACATAATTAGATTTCATAATTCTATCTCAGGAGGCCATGGATCAAGTCCCAGCGAAACTTTCGCTGTACAAATATCACCTTATCATTCCTATAGCTGCATCGCTAATCCTAACATTTTTCTTCATTGCAAGCCCTCGATTTATTACCATTCTCTCCTACTTTTGGCCTCTGTTTCTCTCCACCACTGTACTCTTGGTAGCAATGCTGGTCATTGGGCGGACATTTCCATCAGCTGCAGAATTTTATGGTGAAGAAGAGGGTGAAGGTTTGTTGGATTTTGTTGCAGGGCAGCCAGAACTACTGGAGAATTTCTAAGATCTGAGTGATAACTAGACTCAGATCCATCCCAAGTAACCAATCTCCATGTGTTGATCCTCAATGTACATTGTTTCCGTTGTAATTAGTCAAATGTAATATATGCCGATCCTGCTTTCTTTATACTCTTGGACTGGGAATGAACTGCTAAAATAACATGGATCTTCTAAATTGCTGGCACAAGATTTGAACAGCTAGGCTCTAACTTTGTCGCCGTATGTGATATGCCCTAATAAACTATGCCTGTATCCTAGATGACCAAAACTAATGGTTGCACTAGGATCATCTCTGCTATCCTTCGATGATAAAAAGGTTTCTGAATGAAAGCATTAAGGTCACAAAAAAGTTGCTGCTCCATGCAAGGAATTTACAACATATGCAAATGTTGATCTACTTCGGGCAAAATGTCACTGCCGCTAGCTACATGAGGAACCTCTGAACTCATCTTAAAATTGTTTGTGTAGACAGTTGATCCCTTCTAAGCCTGGCTTAGTCTATTTAGGCTGGCCCGGGCAGTTAGTGACCTCTATAATAGGTGGTAAAAAACTACCAGTCTAGACCATTTATTTTTCAAAATTTTCATTACCCATTGATTTTTCTCAAATTCTTAGGGAGAGTGGTACAATTAAATAGTCCCCTTCCATATGATGATCNTGAAACGAAAAAAACTACCAGTCTAGACCATTTATTTTTCAAAATTTTCATTACCCATTGATTTTTCTCAAATTCTTAGGGAGAGTGGTACAATTAAATAGTCCCCTTCCATATGATGATCAAGTAAAGTGTCAATGCAGCCAATGATACAGTTCTTGGTTAATCCTCGTCTGGAAAAAAAACACTTCTATGCTGGGTTGAAGCTATTGAATGAATCCTCTACTTTTTTCTTTTTTTGGAGTTTCCCATGGAAGCTGTCTTACCAAAAAGGATTGATCCACATTACCAAAAAATAATTCTTTTAGACTCATTTTAGCAACACATGATAATGAAAACAAGACAGCAATACCACAATAGGTAATAGCAAATTGATATTGATTAATCATCGTTTCCTTTCTATGGTGAAATGAGTATGCAAGAAACAAAGAATTGAATGACCATGGCATCCAAAGGGAGCTCACTAGATGATATCACTACTGATTTCTCAGTTTCAGAACCAAAAATAACAAATGGGAAGAGGATTTTACAGTGTTCTAAGGGGTGTCTGTTTATAAAGGTAATCAGTAAAGATGATTGTGTTAGGGACCTCTTAAATATGGCGTTCATCAGAGTTGTACTTGAGATAATTGGATGAGTGTTAGATCAGCTGCTGTTAATGTCCCAGATTGATCAACATCGAGATTTCTAAACTCCTCCATCACAACTGAGATATCATCCTCTCTTATCTTTCCCATCTCTTTGAGCTTGTATACAATGAATTCAGCAGCACTGCATAAAGAAAAAAAAACACATGATTACAAAAGATCGCTTTAAACAAAGGAAAATTAAAAAGCAGTCACCAGTTCAGTAACCATGGAAAGGGAAATTGGAAGTCCAACTTGGTTGCTCTGTCATTTAGGTTGAAGATGTCAAAACTGCATATAACAACTGACCTGACACTCTTATCATTGTCAAGATCTGCTGCCTCAAGATCTGAGATTGTCATCTTCCGCGTAAGAACCCATCTGATCAATGCAGTTTGCCTGCGTTCAGTGAATAGTTCAGCAAGGTAAAGAAAGAACTGAGCCAAACAAATGGTACTGACCAATATCCAAAAAACAGCGAATATACGGCCCCCTTTAGTTGAAAAACTCTTGTCTCCATATCCCAGAGTAGTTATAGTTGAACAAACACAATAGAAGGCATCAAAGAGATTCAGTCCCTCAATTTGGTGCAAGAAGAGGGTTCCAACAATTACAAGCACAAAAAGAAGGATCAGGGTAGTAAGAAGTTTGTATCTAACTCCGTTGGTTTCAACCTCCTTAAGGATTTCAGCTGGACCAAATTTCTCGCGCAGATGTATGGCTTTAACCAAAAGAAGTTCCTCCTTTTCCACAATGTAGTCTGCTGCTTTACTAAGAACAAATCCAACAAGAGCCATACCGGTGAATACAAACATGCAAGCAAGGAGTTTGGCCATAATGCTATCAGGCACAAGGTCACCATATCCAACTGTGGTCATCGTCACAACACAAAAATAAATGGCGTCAAGAATCCCATTTGTTTTGTTACCCTTGATCTGATTCCTAACAAGGAAGAAGCAGAGGGAGCCTACACCTAGGTAGGCAGCCAATAATAAGAATACTTGCTTGAAATTAAGCTGTTCTGCAAGAATAGATATAGGCTGCGGAAGTGGTTCAGCTCCATGTGGTACTGGAAGATTGCTCTGCGATGAAGTAGCACAGGCATAACAGCGATACCTTCTCTTCAGTGCATTATTTTCGCTGAATTGGTGGGGTGGATCACTAGACCCTGATAGCAGCGGATCCTCAGCATTGTCATCTGCCATTAAAGGATTAAGTAAAGGTGCATCTGTTTCAAGACAACCTGCGCCATATATCCATCTGAGCTGCATTCATGGATTATTTGTGGGTGGAAAATTATATCTAGCTTGCTCTGATAATGAAATAAGTAGGATTTCAAGTAGATTAATGGAGGTAGTAAGAAAAATCCTACTTTAATAATTATTGCTTGTAGTAACTTGGGTACATAAATTGAACATGTACTCGTACATTCAACAACAACCCTAAGTGTTGCAGAAGAAAGATGAAATGAAGTAAGAAAAATGTGGTTGCAAAACGATTATCAAGAAATATATGCACCAATAAATAAGGAAATTCTGAGGAATCATTTGGATATCTCACGAAGTCTAAAACTTGCACAAGTACATAAGCAATCAGTTTAGCTGGTCTCAATATCGTTTGCAATGAATGATTAAATTGAGAAATAGGCAAATGCTCATCTTATAACGTTGAGACGTGATCTGCATTCTACTTATTGTTCTCATTCCAGCAGTTTTAGTGATATTCATGGTGAGTGCATTCAAAGTAGCGAAGCCATGCATAATGGAATCATTTTCTGGTCACTGGGGAGCACCATTAAAATAATCTTCGGTGTAATGAAAATTCATTTTGAACTAATTAAATTTGCCCCCCTTCTCTATTCCTGCTGTATCATTGAGGAGTGTTTTTTCTCTTTTCCATAACCCTGGAATCCCCCACCAACTAAGCCCATTTGGAACCGTGGCCAGTAATCAACCTGGGCCCACGCACAAAGTCTCTTCTCCATATGCAGGGTTAAATCTAAGGGAGGTGAGTATGGAACTCTGACCAACAATACCAACTTAAGGCATCTATCAAATGGCCAGCTACGACTTGAGCTAACCCCTTGGGTTGTATCATTGAGGAGTTAACTTGTTAACAGATCAAGAATGCTTTCCATTGGACCAAATAACATATTACCAATGAATCCTAACATCTAAAATGTATTATGTTTAAACATCTAGATTTTTGTTGTACAAAATTTGTCCGAAATGGACATAATTGCATGAGATATTCGCAAAGGACGAGATGGTCTCCGCATTTACATACGAAAAAAGAGAAAAGAAAAAGACAGGATGATCAGAAGGGAAAAAGGAAGAGGAAAAGCAGACCAATGTAAAATGGAAACATAGAGAGGAAAGAAAAAGAAATCCTTGAAATGGAGAGAATTGTTGTACCTGAGAAATCTGGCTTTCTTACTTGAAGCCATTAGAGGAAATTTGGGCATGGTCTGTTTTGGGGAAGGATCCTGAAATGTAGATTCACGAGCAACATGTCCAATATGCAAAAATAGCAAACACCTTTGATAAACCAAACTGGGGATAACTTCTTATCCTGGAATGGAATTATCTCATCGATGAATACCAAAGACTTTCAAATGGTTACGTGTTGTTCATATTAATGCTAACAACATGAATTTTTATGAGCCCAAAATCAACTGAGTCAGGCCCAATAAACCAAAAAGGACCCAAGTTACCAGCACCCAAAAGGGGGTTGTCCAAGCACTTGGCGCCGCCCATGAGGGGGCTCCAGCTTCTCCTTCGTCCTCCTCACTTTACCACTCCGATCCGATTCAACTCAGGATCCAGGAAGTCCAAAGGAATAGGAGCACGTGAGAGAAAATATTGGGACACGCATAATGGAAATCTAGTCCTACCTTAATTGTACTTACCAAAATAGTAGAACTCTCTCCCTCACGTCACCGCCTCATCATACCTATATTGTCACATACAACAATTATTTCATATGCATTTAGGTTGAGAAGTATTCTCTATAGTAATTATCCTATTGAGCGTTGACTCACCCTTTATGGAAACATTTTTCAGGTATTGCATAGGCGTCCACCGAAGGCGAGGTTATGGGCCCACTTTGACAAAAGAGCCGGTCTGTAGTTCTTCTTTTAACATTGTAGTCTTTTGTTTATAATTACTTTCGGCCTTATGCAATTTTTGTAGCAAAAAAACTTGATTATATTTAAAAGGCATGTATAAAGGATTCTTTTGAAACATTTATTCTTTTATGAATGAATGTACGTAATGATGATGATTATGGTAATATTCGATACTATTCAATTGTGAATGGATGGATAGACCCACTGTGGTCAATATTGTACAGGTTGCGTTTTGGTTAGAGCTCCTCGTACAAAAGAGACTCTGCCCAAATTTTGTTAAATTATGGATCTCGATAAATGAGACATAACGACGTGGTATCGAATTACATGGTATCCACGGGTATTCCACAGGTTGATAGGTGATCAATCGGGTAGTTACAAACACAAGGATTTTGGGGTGTCACAACTTGGTATCAGAGCCTAGGTTCTCGATTTACCTAAGGCTTACGAAGTATGGGTCTAGGCAATTGCATCCATTTTGCATTGCATGGTAAATGTATTAAATGTTACATGCTATGTGTTATGAGATTATATGTATGATTAAATGTATATAAGGATAAGACACTACAGTTAGAAAACATAACCTTAGAGTCGGGAAAGGAAAGAATGTGTAAGCCTACTGTTTGAGTATCTGCCGGTAGGTATATATTTTATTGTTTAATTTTGATCCATAACTTTGGGATACTAAGTTATTGATCTATTGTAACCTGTGTAGATGGCAACTGGAGAAAGGGGACATCGGGGTGGACGGAACAACCAACCACCACCATCGGCTTTTGATCAACAAGCCTTTATGGAGGTTATGGGTACGATGACTACCACCTTTTTGCAAGCCAGTTACAACGTGGACCAAGGAGGCTTGAACAACCTCCAGAAGTTTAAGTCCCACAACCCACCAACTTTTGTAGGAGGAGGGGATCCGATGGTAGCTGACCATTAGTTCCAACAGGTGGATAAAATTTTAGAGGCAATGGAGATTGCATCCGACGCCATTAAGATACGGTTGGGCACTTTCCATTTTGAGAGAGAAACCCATCAATAGTGGACATGGGCAAAGCCGATAGACATCGGGAGGATGACATGAGGAGAGTTTCAAGAACTCTTCATGAAGAAATATTTTCCACCAGCTATTCGGGAAGTCAAAGCCCAAGAATTTCTAAACTTGAAGCAAGGAACAATGAGGGTTATGGAGTATGGACCAAGTTCATAGAATTGACACGTTTTGTGGATGACTACGTGACCACGAATTTGGCCAAGGTGCGGAGGTTTGAGAATGGTCTAAAGCTATCCATCCGTGAGAAGATTGTTGGCCACAGGTTGCACGACTTGGACGAGATGGTCGAGACATCCATGGCTATAATGAGAGGAGTGGAAGACGTTAAGAGTATTCGAGAGGCCGGATCAAAGGATAGGAAGAAGAAGGGACAATCCTCCACTATTAGCTCGAGAAAGAGACAGATGATTGCTACCCCACAGGGACAAGGCCAAGGCTATCAGGACCAAGGCTAAGGTCATGGTCAATCTTCCCAAGGCGAGAGGAATTCTAGGGCCACACAACAAGGAGGCCTACGGACATGTTACTATTGCCACCTGGGAGAGAGTGTCCTCAGAGGCAGGGATCTCAGAACTACGGGACATCTCAGTCCCAGTTATTAGTGGGGCATCCACAGACTTATTTCATTCCTCCCTATCCCACCAAGGACTAGGGAAATTAGTTCCAGTTTCAAGGTGCAGTACAGGCCCTTACCACTTCACGAGCAGGGACTCCGTAGTCAGGCCAGATGGGTCAGGGCATGGGCCGAGGCCGGGGAAAGGGCTTTCAAGTCGGGACTTTAAGGACCCAGGGGCAAGTCTTTGCCATCACACCGCAGACTTTATCGGCAGATCAGTCAGTAATTCAGGGTACATTCCTTCTCTCTAGATTATGGACTAGAGTATTATTTGATTATGATGCATCACATTCTTTTATTGCTATATCATGCCTATGAGACTTGGGTTTAGAGGCCGAGACTCTGGAGGATCCTATGTATGTGAGCTCACCCCTAGGAGACAGAGTTTACATTGGCAAGATATATTGGGGTTGTGAATTGGAGATCGAAGGAACCCAACTTACCGTTGATCTTAGGGTCATCGAGATGACGGAGTTCGATGTTATACTTGGGATGGATTGGTTGACGCCACATAAGGCCGTCATTGATTGCGAGCACAAGAGGGTTACGACTTACACTTCATACAGGATTTGTTTCAAGTTTCAGGGGGAGAAGCACAATGTTTTATCTCATGTCGTATATGAATCTCGATGACACAGACAGTTGATAGGTTAGCTTGTTAGCCTTACACTGAAGGATGAGGTAAGACATGAGTTGGGTCTGCCTTGAGTTGTGTGTGACTATGCGGACGTCTTTCCAAATGAGTTATCGGGATTGCCACCGCATCAGGATGTATACTTCATCATAGAGTTACAGCCCGGTACATTCCCTATTTTTATGACACTGCATAGGATGACACCAGCAGAGTTNTCCATGGCTATAATGAGAGGAGTGGAAGACGTTAAGAGTATTCGAGAGGCCGGATCAAAGGATAGGAAGAAGAAGGGACAATCCTCCACTATTAGCTCGAGAAAGAGACAGATGATTGCTACCCCACAGGGACAAGGCCAAGGCTATCAGGACCAAGGCTAAGGTCATGGTCAATCTTCCCAAGGCGAGAGGAATTCTAGGGCCACACAACAAGGAGGCCTACGGACATGTTACTATTGCCACCTGGGAGAGAGTGTCCTCAGAGGCAGGGATCTCAGAACTACGGGACATCTCAGTCCCAGTTATTAGTGGGGCATCCACAGACTTATTTCATTCCTCCCTATCCCACCAAGGACTAGGGAAATTAGTTCCAGTTTCAAGGTGCAGTACAGGCCCTTACCACTTCACGAGCAGGGACTCCGTAGTCAGGCCAGATGGGTCAGGGCATGGGCCGAGGCCGGGGAAAGGGCTTTCAAGTCGGGACTTTAAGGACCCAGGGGCAAGTCTTTGCCATCACACCGCAGACTTTATCGGCAGATCAGTCAGTAATTCAGGGTAC